GGAACACTGTTGACAGTGCATAATGCAACGTTGCATATTTCACCGTTGCTCCAGTTAAGTTGTTGCCTCAGCTTAACATAAATATTTAAAATAAGTTATTTCACAATTGCTGAATTGCTTAAAATATAAATTGAATGACACAATTTAACAATGTGAAATAATTTGATTATTACTTAAATTCTACCGTACCACTGGCAATTTTGGTTCTATCGAAGTTCCCTCTCTAGACCCATGATATTCTGTGATGTCGACGTAATAATTAATATAAAAAAACAAGTTCACCTCGAGAAGGATGTAGTAAAGTGTCACGTATCATGATCTTGACATAGCATAGGCTAAGGGTATTTACTAACATCAGATGAAATCATTAAAATGTTTTACTTTTTCACCTTTTTCCAAATGTGGTTTTGTTTCTTTGTTTTGATTTTTAGATAGAAATATAAAAATTCGTTACGATTTGTACCAAATCTACCACAGAAATACTTTAAAAAAAAAGAATGTACTTCAAATGTAAAATGGTTTACGAAAAAAAATAAAATATTAGTTAAAATAAGAAAATTAGAAAAATATTGTATTAAGGAATACAAAAATTCAGGTTTTTTTTTAAATTTCCTCTCCAAATGGACGAATTAAACTAAACTTTGCATTTAAGTACAACTTCTAACATATATGTTTTGCCAAAGTATTTTATCGTTTGTGTTAAAATATTAGTTAGTGTTTATTTTATGTTCATATTGACATTATGATTTCTTATACATTTGAAATTAAAAGTCCTCTTCATTTGTGGATAACACGCTATATGATTTAGTCACATCATGAACTTAATAAATTTATAAGCAATTATAAGTAATTTAAAAAGAAAATATATTTTCAATAATATTTAGTAAACTGATAAACTTAAAATTCACGGAAGGTAAACTTATATGGCGCCTACACTGGCCGAAAATGATTCATTTTGAATGAGGCATTTTAAAGTGTTTACATTCGTTGTAATTGATTAGTTCCCGTTTTAAACAGCTGATTTTTCAACTTGCCTGTTGATTTGATTTTTGGCCTGTGCCAAAAAAAAATGTTGCATGAAGGTTAAATATGCCTTCAAACATACAATAGAAACGTAAAACATATTTTTAACTTCGATTAATTTATTTTTGGAAAGTAGAAGTTCCAAAAAGAGATGCGTCGTTTTCAAAGAAATGCAACCATCAAACATTTGTTTACCTTTTTTAGTAAATATGTCAAAAACAGCTTTCTCAAACTGTTAAAATGCCACAGAGAGCTTTTATTTAGGGTATGTTTAATGTATTCCTTAGTATTTGGAACATATTTGAAGCACATTCGAACGTCGTTGGGACGCATTCATACAGAATGTGATGAAATGGATCGCTTTCGCGGTTGAAATTTTATATGCAAGAATGAGTCATTCGCTCCTCATTTTCGATTTTTAACCAAAATGAGCCATTTTCGGCGAGTGTAAATGCCGTATAATTGTCTCACGTCGTTTTCTCAAACGATTTTCTTACTTTTCACAGTTAGTCACTCGAAGTGTTTATGTAACTGTGGTGAATTTTTTCTCACTTTTTTCTTTCAAGTTTTTGTCAACTGACAAATTTAAAGAGATAATGAAAATATTTGTTTTATTTACATAAAATATTAGTTAAAAATGACGCGGTATATTCGTAATGAGGAATGTTAGTAAATGTATAGATGCAACTGTATATAAAATTTTAAATACAGTAGTAATTATTGTTAATAAACTGATATATTAATTTCATTAGCGATTTTTAAAAAAAAAAAATTTTATGATCATGTTTCGAAGGCACAAAAATATAAATTATTAGAGCTGCTAAAACAAAATATGTGTATTGCTCAGGGTGACTTTTCAGGCCCAGGTAGTCATGAAACCCGCGAAACTGTGCCGAAGAACTAAATGTTTTTGAGAATCCAATAAAACTCCATTTTTTGGTACAAGTGTTATTTGTTATTTTAACGTTAACTTTTGACATTGAATTACTCGAAGTGTTTGTCAAAAAAGAGTAAAATCGTTCGAGATAATAAAGTGAGAAAGTTACATGGCCCGTTTATGTTACATGGCAAAGCTTTTGAAAGTTTTACCGTTACCACACTAATTAAATTGTCTAGCTTAACATATGTATGCGGAAATATTCTATTTATTATTTTGCTTACTGTACAGATTTTATTTTAAAATTAAATACAATTTCTATGACCTTATTTAAAACTGTGAAATTCAAAATTATAAAATAACTTAACAATTCCATTATATACAGTGGTGGGCGGACTGGAAGCCATCAGTAAAAAACAAATAGCTGCAGTAAAGCACTTTTTTTTACTGACTAAGTCAAAAACTCTTAGGGAAAGACATAAACAGGTGATAGCATTGATTTCGAAGCATGCAGTAGAAGTTTTTTGTTGTAGGTACATATTAATAAAAACAATTTCTGTTTTTTTCTATAGTATCAACAAGCAGAAAATTGTGATGGGATATGAATAGTTGACCTTACTCAATGTTAAGGCCGCCTTTGATGACCACTGCATTCATATTCTTCTTTACACTTATGTTCCAATTTAAATGAGCTATCCATTGCATTTCTATAATTTATGGCATGAGTCAGAAAACGACACTTCTGACACAAATAATATGCCGCTTTACACAAATTGGACCACACAAATTGGAACACATATCAATATGAGACACATGACAAACAAATGCAAAGTAAGTACTTACTATGCATTTCTTTTCTTAAATGATGTGTCATTAATAAAAAGGAAATATGTATAAATACATAGATTTAAAGTACATAAAAAAAACCAATTAGAATTAAGAAAATATTGTTAATTTTAAGTAACTATTATTAGAATAAGACGAATGTATTATTTGATATACATTATCAAACCATTGTAAGACAAGATAAGTTTTAGAGATCAGTCTTGTGCAGCACGGAGTCAAATATTACGCCTACACCACCATGTTTTACCGTTAACAACAATTTTTGTTTATCATAGGCCGTACATGATTTCCTGCACACAGTTTTCCTAGCTTTGATTCTAAATATGTAAAATTAACTTTCATCGGAGACAATACGTCATTTTCAGAGCTCCATAGCTTTATTTACATGCTTTCTTGCAAAGCTTAATCTTTTTATTCTATTACATCTGGGTGTGTATGGCTTCTTTCTTGAAACTCGGGTATAATACTTGCTTTTTTATAAAATTTTCCGCACAGTATCAGGACATATTTTGTTGTTAAATATTTCGGCAATATGTTCAGCCAGTTTGGTGGCTGTTTCTCTTACTTACTTTCACCTGATTGATGATGCTGCGTCTTTGTCTAATTGACAGAATTGATGGGTGACCAGTACGAGATTTAGAAACATAATTACCCGTCTCCTTGATGTTATTTATAACTTTTTGCACAGATGAATATTGACGACCAATATCTTCAGCAATTTTTCGTTAGCTTATGTCATGTTTGCAAAATTTAACAGTTATTTGTCGTTTAATAACACTAATTTCACGTCTTTTATTTTCCTTTGTAAAATTTCACTGTTTACATAAAAAATTTTAAATGATTAATTCTTAGACTCTTTAGGAAGTCAATTGATAATTAAATTATTACAAAGATATAAATTATAAAAATGTGTAGCATTATGCATTATATTTAGTATTTTATGAAATACAACAATCACAATAAAAACAAACTAATAACAAATTTAAATGTGATTTTGTAATGAATGTGAAAAAAATTCCTTGTAATGGAATGACCTATTATCCATCCTTCATTTAAAACAGAAGTAATGCAGTACAAATCTGCAGAATCAGTTTTTTTTTTGGTGGCGATCTTGTAATTCCGGCACTGATAAGTTATGGAATTTTCTATAATTATGCAGAGTACAACAAGCATTTATTACAGATCTCACTTAAGCAGGACTAACCATCAGATCACACAAGCATGCGAAAACCTTCTTAAGAACTACATTCAACCGTTGAATGCAATTGCGACCACTGCATTGAACTTTTGCTGGCTTGCATTTTCAGTATTTTTATAAGGAATTAGTAATCATGTTTGAAAAGGATATCCGCAATCACTCAGTAACTCAATTTTTTGAACTTTTTGAAAGCGTATTCCACCATATGAAGACATTGTGTGTATTTCCACCATAGCGAGCATATCACCTCAAAATTTTCAAATCATAGTAACAAATAAGCCGGACATTTTTCGAAAAGAAACCTTTTCTATTTTTAAAGCTTTCTTCTATGTTAGGTTTTTTTATCTTAATTTGTATATAATCAACAGCACCTTTAGCACGTGGAAAGTCTATCGCATTGAAGAATCTGTGTGACAATCAGTAAATAAAATGTATTTATGAAACGAATTTTTATTTACTTGTGCGTTAACTTACCATATACTGAATTATAAAAGTTACTTGTTGTATCACGAAGCATGATATTGCATTGGTATTATGTCGCGTAAAAACAAGCCGATTGTAGTGCAGCAGTAAGACTTATATGATTCTGTATATAGGTGTTTCTGACACCACTGCTCATAAACGGACTTACTTTTTCCAAAAGATGTAGAGTTACTTCCTTATTAAAGCGAAATAGGTAGACAATACCTGATTGTAATGCGTTAGTTTAATAGCGTTAGTGCCTTCAATGAACGTGAAATATATTTCTGCGATCATATATCACTAGAACAGCAAGATTTTCAATGTTTGATTCTGAAGAAGAGGCAATATTTATTAATTTATGATTTTGAAATAATTTGCGGTGAGAAATAATAAAGTAGGTAAAAATTGTTAGATTTTTGAGATTTTATTCATTTAAAAGAATTATTTTTGTGATATAGTTAGACTATAGACTAACCGTGAGGAAGAAAATTTTTTCCGGCAGAAGGAGAAAGCCGCACTGGCAAGGAGTTATACCGGGTGTCAATAATGTCGATGATGTTTTCAAGAGAGCACCCGGACCTTTTTTTTCTGCAAATGGAGGCGCAGTTCAAGAATGATGAAATAACGAGAGATGATACAAAGTTCGACCATGTAGTAGCAGGTTTAGAGCCGAAATACCTGGAGTACATAGTTGATGTGATTCGAGATCCACCGAAGGTGTTGAAATATGAGACGTTGAAGAAACGGTTAATATATGAATTCACAGAATCGGAGCACAAAAGGCTGCGTAAGTTGCTGACAGAATTGGAGCTAGGTGACATGAAACCAACTCAATTGCTGAAGAAAATGAAGGAAATGGCCGGCAATTCAATGAATGATGATGTACTAAAGTCATTGTGGTTACAGCGATTGCCAGTGGGAGTTAGAACAATCGTAGCTGCAGTCGAAGGTGATTCTGTGAGCCAAGGTGACTGATAAGATATTTGAGGCACAGGAAACAGAAACGGTTTGTTTAGTGCAAAGGAATGAACCGAATGAGATGAAGAAAGAAATTGACGAATTAAAAGTCATGGTTAATAATTTGATCATTCAGTTGGGCAATAGTGGAAGAAGCAATGACAGAGATCATGGAAAAGGGCGATCATCAAGTGCTAAAAGAGATAATATCTGTTCAGCCGTGCCAATACAAACCACCACAAAACTCAGCGGGAAACTAAACATCACTTCACGCCACGTCTGAAGTGGCAAAGGGTAAAGCATACCGTCTGTTCTTCAAGGATAAAAAAACAGATATAAATTATCTAATAGACATGGGCGCGGAAGTTTCAATTTTGCCAAAGAGAATGCAACCTGAAAATGAAGCCACGCAATATTATTTATACGCAGGAAACGGGGCGAAAATTAGCACGTATGGAACGAAATTAGTGCAAGTCAATTTGGGGTTGCGCAGACAGTTCCTGTGGGAGTTCCTAGTGGCGAAGGTAAATCACCCAATAATAGGAATTGAATAATTTTTTTAAATAATTTTGGTTTGGTTGTGGACCTGAAGAACAGCAGAATTTGTGATGGCATTACAAACCTCCAGATAATGGGTTCGAAGAAGGAGATGCACTGCGTGAAACTAAGCACTAATGATGCAACTAGCCCGGCACATAACATCCTGCGGGATTATAAAGAGATAACGGAACCGGCTACTAGTAATAAGGCGGCCGCGTGGGTTACACTAGTAGAGCAACAAATTGTTACCAAGGGACAGCCAGTGTATGCAAAACCTCGGCGGTTAAACCCTGAAAAATTTGAAATTGCGAGAAAGGAATTTGAATTTATGACGAAACAAGGTATTTGTAGGCCAAGTAACAGCAATTTGGCAAATCCGTTGCATTTAGTGGCGAAAAGGGATGGTAAGTGGAGACCGTGTGGCGATTATAGGAAGCTTAATTCGATAACACTGCCAAATCGGTATCCATTACCCCAAAAACATGATTTTACTCGCATTTTGCACAATAAGAAAATTTTCTCAACTATTGACTTGGAAAAAGCCTACAATCAAATTCCGATTACTGAAGAGGATCGACCTAAAACGGCGATAATAACACCGTTCGGCTTATATGAGTTTAAGATGATGACTTTTGGTCTATGCAATGCAGCGCAGACTTTCCAAAAGTTTATGAATGGTGTCCTAAAGAATCTGAATTATGTAGTAACGTACATAGAGGCCGAGAAAATATTTGAAGTGTGTAAGAACAATCTGGCGAATGCTGCAATGCTAGCACACCCGGCTCCGACGCTAGCAATGTCGCAGTAGGAGCAGTGCTGCAACAGCTTATAGATGGACAGTTACAACCGTTGGGATTCTATTCCAAAAGACTGACAGAGACTCAAAAGAAATATAGTACTTATGACCGCGAGCTACTTGCTTTATATATGGCAATCATATACATGATTGAGGGCAAGAATTGCACAGTGCTAACGGATCATAAACCGATTAAATTTGCTTTCTAACAAAGATATGAAAAAGCATCTGAACGCCAGCTACGCCATTTAGATTTCATCGGGCAGCTGACAACAGATATTCAGCATATAGCAGGCAGCAAAAATACAGTCGCAGATACTTTATATCGATTCGAACGGGCTGAACAGGTTAATAAGAAACCGTACAGCGTCATCTCTGGAGCTCAAGTTGGTGGAGTTAATTGCAGAGGGTGTTTCTGTGTATTGTATCTGGCAAGAAACCAAGATCGTTTATTACAAAGTCCTTTCGAGCGCAAGTGTTTGAAATGTTACACAATTTAGCTCATCCTGGTAGAGAAGCAAGTTTAAGACTAATAAGTTCTCGTTTTTGTTGGCCTAAAATGAAGACCGAAATAAGTCAAATGGTGAAAACGTGCATGGCGTGTCAAAAGTAGAAAATTCAGCGGCACGACAGGACTGTGTTGCAGGATTTCAACGCTCCTAATCAACGTTTTGAGCATGTACATATTGATATCGTGGGACCTTTACCCTATTACAATGGTATGCGGTATTGCCTGACATGCATCGACCGGTTTTCAAGGTGGCCGGTGGTGGTACCGTTGGCGTTGGAGATTACGGCAGAATGTGTGGCTGAGGCTTTAATTAAGGATTGGATAGTGCATTATGGTGTGCCGAAAAGGATTACGACAGACCAGGGACGACAGTTTGAGTCCAAGCTTTTCGATGAGTTAGCCAAAATATTGGAGTGCGAAATGCATCGGACTACAGCATATCATCCACAGTCAAATGGACTTGTCGAGCGTTTTCATCGCACGCTAAAGTCTGCACTGATATGTAAATTAAGTGTTTAATGGACGAGGGCCTTGCCGATTGTGGTAATGGGATTAAGAGCGGCATTTAAAGAAGTTTTGCAAGCGACACCATCGGAATTTAATTTATGGGGTAAATATGCGTTTACCAGGAGAGATGTTTGATGGTGAGTTGAAGCAAGTATCGCAAACAGAGTTTGTTAACGAGTTAAGGAAAACTATAAACGAACTGAAGCCATTGCAAGCATCGCGTCTTATGACGGAAAAGCCATTCGCATTTAAAGATTTGAAAAGCAGTACACACGCATTCTTACGTGATGACGCCGTGCGACCACCACTGAAACAGCCGTATGAGGGCCCGTATGAAATTTTATGTCGTGGTGAGAAAACTCTAACAATAAGGGCAAGAGGGCGCACGGTGAATGTCAGCATAGATCTAGTGAAACCGGTATATTTTGCGAATGAAGCTGGTGAAGATTGTTTGCAAGATAATGTCAAGGTGTTAGGTGGTAACAATAACAAGCAGATAGCACCAAAGGTGACTTGAGTGGGTAGAGCGGTGCGTTTTCCATTGAGGTTCCATTGAGTAATAATATACAATTCGGATAGAATTTGTCGTTATGCAGCCGTCAAATTCTAGAAGGGGCTGTGTGGTGAGAAATAACAAAGTAGGTGAAAATTGTTAGATTTTTGAGATTTGAAAATATTTTATTTAAATATTCATTAAAAAAAATTATTATTGTGATATAGTTAGTTTTGTGTTTTTACTGTTTTTTAAATAATAAAAACTATTTTGTTATTGCGAGCACAACAAATTGAATATTTTACCGCAAACTTTTAGAACAGTAAAATCAAAAAAAAATATATTTTCATCAATTCCTCTCATCACACCATAACGTTCTCGCAAGGTGAGTTTTTCATGCTACAAAAACACATTTTAACAATCAGTCTTATATTAAATTTCGAGAATTCTATGTCTACCATACTTTACACCCTAGCAACTGTTCGCGCCGTGATTCAGCCATAATTCTTCGAAAATCACTAAAGCATTGTGAAGGAGAAAACATTGCCACTGATGAATTCCAAGCAACTACTGTAACATTTGAAACCGCAGGAATCAAACCTTACTTATCAGTCGTTTATAGTCCACCTAGACATTCAATAAAGTGTAGTCAATACGTATCACTTTTACAAAAACATAACCATCGTTTTATCATGGATGGTGATTTTAACGCCAAAAATATAAATTGGGTTCTCGTCTAACGACTACTAATGGAAGAGTATTAATGAAAGCCGTTCAAATCACAGGATGCAGCCATATATCAACTGGAAGTCCGACTTATTGGCCGATTGATCAAGAAAAAGTGCCTGACTTGCTAGATTTCTATATATATAAAAACATATCTCGCAATAGACTTGAAGTAGAAAGTGGCCTGGAATTCAATTCGGGTCACTCGCCAGTTTACTTAACATTATTTGAATCTGTCACCTTAAGACAGCAACCATATTTTCTAATCAGCCAACTAACCGATTGGAGTTATTTTCGTAAGTCCCTAGATAAAAACATGGATTTATCTTCTGGAATTTTGTCTAATCAACAGCTTGACGATGAAGTCCACAAATTAATGCAGACTCTACAAAATGCAGCATGGAATAGTACTCCATTCTCCAGTTCTAAATCTCATCCCTACCTATCCCACTAACATTCGGTTTTTAATATCAAAAAAACGCAAGCTTAAAAAAATGGCAAATAACAAGGTGTCCAACCTACAAAACCGAACTAAATAGATTTGAAAACGTGAGCAGCACGCGTTTTAAGTGTACATATGAATTAGATAAATTAGATAAATATTAATAATAGTAAATTACAATAATATTAAATAAATCTCTCAACACCGGCCGCGTTGAAGCACTGAGCTGTGTTCAATGTATGCAAGATCAGTAGACAGGCAGCACCGCCAACTTGTGCACAGGTTGCCGCACCACTCCACTGCTTATTTTGACGTCAACAACTCGTATTTTACTGTCGTGCCCGGGAATTGCGTACTGGACCCTTTCGAGCTTCCATTGGTGAGGGGGAAGATTGTCTTCGTGGACGACGACTAAGCGGCCGACCAGGAGGTTCGGTTGCTCCATCAACCATTTGGTTTTGGGCTGCAGACGCAGTATGTAGTCTTTCGACCAACACTGCCAGAATCTTCGTTTGACGTCGCACAAGAGTCGCCATCTCGTTAAAGAGTTCATCTCGTTGTCTGTTACGTCAAGCGCGGATCCTTGCGGCAGTGTGCGCAGAGAACCCCCTATTAACAGGTGCTCTAGAGTTAGAGCTTCGAGGTCGTTCGGATCCTGACTTAGCGTGGATATCGGCCGCGAATTCAACACTGCTTCGATCTCTACAAGCACGGTGTGAAGTTCTTCGTGAATGAGCAGAGCACTGTTGGTGGTGTGTAACAGAAGGTGCTTTGCCGATTTGACGGCTGCTTCCCACAGGCCGCCGAAGTGTGGAGCCCTAGGTGGTATGAAAATAAAGTCTGTTCCGTTCTGTGCAGCGTATGATACCATTTCTTCCTTCTGGATGTTGAACGCGTCTGCCAGCTCTCGAAGTTTTCGGTCTTCCCCCACAAAATTCGTTGCATTGTCGCTATATATCTTCTCTGGAAGTCAGCGCCTTCCGGAGAACCTTTTAAGACCAAA